CCCACGAAGAGCTGGCTATACCGCAAGGAGGGATCGCTACGTAACGTCCTACACTCAGCACACTCGAGGCTCAAGCAGTTGCATGGGGTGTGTGGGCATGGACTGGTGGGGCTGCAGCGGCTGTGATGGATTTGGGAAGGCGGGGTGTGGGCGGAGGGACGGTGGCGACAACGATTTCTCACATGGCGACAAACCGAGGTTACAGTAGCCTGCATGATGGAAACTCTTGTGGCCTTGCAGCTTCAGTTGCTCTGTCAATGAATTTTCCCGGATGCCGCAGAGTGCTATGTGGGGTACTGCATGTTTCGCTGCTCGCGGCTAGCTCGGGGTTTTAGGAAGCGTGCCTTAGCACCGTCATAAACACCCGGGCAAACCAAGGATTGAAATAGATTCTAAGTAGATGCATTTTGCGGAGCACTGCGGAGCATAAAGCTTTGCAGAGGAATGCTTTCATTCACCGGGGCCGCCGGGATCCAGGTCCCGTGCGGAGGGCGCCTTGTTCTGCAAGAACTACTTGGCAGTCTGATGTTGCCATGAAGCCTGAATGAATTCACTTCTCGGCTTTCTGAACTTCAGGTCCGGAGTCTGCAACGCCTCAGAGCGCCCTAGGTCTAGGTGTCGATATGACAAGGAGATGGTCTAGCATCGCCTTTGATTCGATTTCGAAGAAGCTATGTGGGCTTTAGAATTTTGGAACTTGGAATTGGAAGACCCTGGCCTGTGAAAGCCCGTGTGCGAAGGCTTGCGAAGCCCAGGCCAAAATGGCACATGTTCCACACCTGTCAGGGGCTCATGAATGTCAGGGTGCCGCCGCGACAATTTGATCCTTCCGGCATGCACTTGTGCGATGGCGTTGCCAAGGCTTCGTGTAAACCGATTGATACCATTCCAGTCAGAATCGAAGACAGCAGTAGACTCAGTAGATAGAGTGATAAGTAAAGTTAAAGTGCTGTCTATTCTGGTCCATGGTGGAGGGCGACCTCGAACATAAGGATGTCTCAGGTGCCGGAGTCGGGCTCAACACGGACGAGGCTAAAGCATTCCCAGTGCTTGTGTGACGGCACTTGTAGAGAAATTTAAGATATCGGCACAGCAGAGTCCCGAAATCAAAATTTAGTGGGCAAGAGCAAAACCTACAGTGGCAACAACGAGAAGCCTCGACGCGCTTCCATCAGGCGCAGACGTTTCAAAATCCGAAACCTTCAGCCCTTTGATTTGAGTAAGCCAATGATGCAGTCATCCCAAATACTGTATGCTCTGTGAACTCCGATGGCGGCGATGGCCGCGGTCCAGGCCCAGACGAGGCCTTTACAGAAAGCACAGCAAGGCACTTCGGCCCGGAGTTGAACCTGATCTTGTGAGTGAAGTTGAAGGCCTCGCCGCTGTCGCCGCTGCAGGGACACTCGTGGTCGCCTCAGTGCAATCTGAAGGCGATGGGAAGAAACTCAAAGGCAAGGAAGATGTGGGATCCACGTTCAGATTGTTTGTCCACGTGTCCCAGCAGGTCTGGCAGTGAGAGTGGAGGGTGCCAAGCACTACTCAGAAAGACCAAGTCGAGACAAGGTGACAACCAACTTGCGAGCCTGGATTGGTTGAATGTCACCCTTGAGCTGCAGGTTGCGACTGCGCCCCTGCGTCTCAGCTGCGCCCCCGTGGCCCGGACCGGAATGGAGGGAAGGGACCGGGAGAGGAAGTTTGCGACTTTAGGGTTCAGTGCGTGGCTTACACTGGTTTCTTGCTTGGGCTTCAACCCTAGCGCCCACTTGTCAGCCAAATTGCGGAGGCGTACAGGATCAAATAAGGACTGCTGAGTTGGCCCCTTGCTGTTTTCAGGCTAGGCCGTGCAGGCCGGGACTGCAACTCTTCTGCCAAGATGGATGGTTGTGATAGCTGGCTCGCTCTCTGAGTGCCGAAACCTGGCTAAACAGCCTTGTCATGGGTGCAGTTGGCTCACGCTGCCACGGGTTCCGGCTCTGAGGCCACGCTCCATACCGCGCTGAACTTTCAGTGGTCCCAGTGTCGGGCTAAGGATGTTGCGGTGACAGAATGATTTGTCCTTGTTATACATTTACATATCCTCGGAAGAGGAGCATTCCATGCCCGTCGCTTCTTTGCACATTTGCTTCTGCGGCCTTCAGTGTTCCGGTGTGCAGTGCAGATTCCCTTAACTTTCTAACCAATGAACCAACAAAGCCGTTTGCATCCCGAGGCCCAGCGCTGTGTATGGGCACCGCTTCAAGCTGTCCCAGAAGCTGCCGCAAGGGCTGAGGCAAGACCTGCCGTCCATGGTCGTGACCTCGGGGCTACTGTCTGTGGAAGTGCCGATCACCCCAGTTAACCACACCAAAAAGGCACAGAAGCTCCGAAAACAATGGTGCAGTCCGGTCCAAACTTAAGCCAAAGTCAAACGCCATGAAGAGCCTAAGCAAAAGCCTGGCCTAAGCTGACGCCACGGGGCATCTGAAATCAAATCGTAAACCGTCGATGGAAGGTATTGCGCGGATTTCATCAGCGAAGCAGAGGAGCGGGAACTCGACCAGCTGCTTTCAACCGGCCCATGGTTGCCCGGCCCCTTCTGTAATTGGGTTAAGGCTTACTCGATTCATGTCTGTCAGACGTTTCCAAGTATGACCTGTGCTTATCGAGGACTTGAAGGATGTAGGACGAAGCTGCGCAACAGCGCGCTCGCCTGTGAGTGCTTTCCAGCTCTACCCGAGGAAGCTCGAAGCAGTAGGAAGGCTCCATCAGCTCACACGCAAACAAGCAAAAAAGCACGCAAGCATACGCAAGCCAACAAGCAAACCAGCAAACAAACAAACAGCCACAGAAACGCACAACACACTCTCCCTCTGTCTCTCTCGCTCCCTCGCTCCTTCGGTTCGGTCGTCGTCCAACAGGACTTTTTCGGTGCATCCATCTTGACCGATGCTTGTATGAGATGTGGCAGACCATGCCCCACCATGCCCCCAAACCATGCCCAAACTGCCAAAACTAGACTTTCAAGGTTGAGGCACATCAAGAGCCGAGCCCAGCAGTTTTTCGGGCTGGTCTACTACCAGCCGCCCATCCGGAATTGAAGGCATTGGCCCTATTTTCCGCGCTCGTTTCGATTGTTTGTGTTCTCGCTCTTCTTATTTTTCCTCTGGTTGTGGCTGCGGCTGCAAGTGCTGCTGCTGCTGCTGTTGCTGGTGCTGTTGCTGTTGTGGTGTTGTTCTTGCTGCACTACAGCTGTTGCTGTTGTTGCTGCTGCTGTTGCCGCAGTCTTTGCTGTTGCTGTGACGGTTGCTGATAAGTGTGACAAGGGCTTCTATTGTCTTGTTATTTGTGTTGCTTGTTACTTACCGGGCAGTATCTCCAACCATACCAAAAGCAGTCAAATATCTACATCTCAGTGCTTCAGCTTGTCAAATCTCCGCTGCTGGCTTCAGGGCTTTGACTGAAAGACTTCGGGTTCTTTCAGGGATCTGACGGACAGAGATTGAACAGGCCGCGCGGAAGCCCCTGTTCTCCTCTGAACAAGTGTCCGAAAGTGAAAGCGCAGTGGCTTCGCAGAGCTCGTCCCTGGCCTTGCGCAGTCTTGAATGCTATTTCCGAGTGGCGCCACCCGCCACCTCCAACGAATCTTGGAATGCCCCCCTTTCTCCAAGCAGATTCCCTGAAGCCCAACGACTTCGCGTTCCCGCGGCAGCACTTGCCCGGGACGCTTTCAGAGGATGTCAGTGAAGTCACATCACGCCGCATACCTTCTTGGAGTAGAGTGGGGGGTCTGGGATCAGCCAAGGACAACCCAGCAGCTTCCCGCGCTCCAGCCCTCCGAGCTTTCCGCGCAGAACGAGGCGCCCTATGCAGCGATTTTGATTTCAAGTTTAGCAGGTTGGGATGTTAGAAGAAAGTATCACCACGCTGATGTCATGATTTCTGCTATCATTCATTTCAATCAATCAATCAATCAATCAATCAATCATGTCCGTTTCACTGTTTAAGTCCATCTCGGCTTCTCTTTGTGTTTCAGGCTCGCTCCATGGAGGACTTGCCGGAGTGGCTAATGCGCCTTGGCCGCCTTGGCCTTGCACACAGCTATGCGTAGCCTTGGGCCTGGGCCGCCTGTGCAAAAAACGCAGGCAGAGGGTTCTGGCCACTGGCGCTTTCCCGCGGGAGGGTGAAATCAACCAGGCCTGGGTGTTAGGGATCCAGCCCTGCGCGTTGTGCAAGTTCGGCAGGTTGCGGCGAACGAGTACCTGGACAGGGCAGGCGGCTTGAAGCATGAACGGGCTGAAACCTCTTCCTAGCCTGAGGCCTTCAGCCCCTTCAAAACCCAACCGTGTACTCTCACAAGCGGCAACTCTGCCGGCGAACAACGCACGAGCCGTCGCACTGCTGGCCGCCTGCGGGGCAAGCACACGTATCGCTAGCTTCACGGCGATCTTCACCCTTTAAGGCCAACTCACTGGCGTCATATGCCAGTGTATGACAGCAAGACGATGCGCCAATTGCTTGCTGGGCGTAGGCAGTCACATCGGACATAGGTGACGCGCTCGGGCAGTCATTTTCCGGCGACCGGCATGCGATTTCCTGTTGCAAGGGCGGCTTTTGTGGTATCCTGCTCGCATGTTGGATGACTTTCACGAACGAAACCTTCCAGCAACAGTTGTTGCCATCATCCACTATCATTGCATCCGGCTCCGACGTGGATCATACCACTTCTTCCATCTTCTTCTGCAAGAGTTGCTGATTCCGAAGCTGATCGGGATGTTTCTAGAGTCTTCGAGCTGCAATGCCGGCAACTGACGCCTGACTCTGTTACTTGGGTACCTCCAGGCATCTCCTCCCATGTGGAAGAGCCCACTGCTTTTGGCCGCAACCTGGGCACGCTCTCGAACCGTGGCTGCAAGCAGTAGGCGCGGCTGTTCGCGTGTATGCGGCTACACCAATGGTTTGGCACTGCCTAATCCACATTATTCCACGAAGTGGACTCTTCACAACAGACAAGGGGGTCTCATACTTTCGATTCCAGCAGGGTGGCCGGGCTGGGACACTCCGATGGCGTTCATGTCAATTTGCGTATGATTACGTCGCTCATGTGAGGGTTTCGCCTTGCCAAGGATGCTGTCGCCGGTGCAGATGACGCTGACTCCTGCCGAGGAGGTGCAGCCTGCAGTGGGAGCGGACTTGCGTGTTTCAGTTTTAGTGTGGTGAAATTGGTGCCTAGTTCAACGGTCGCTAGTTGCAGTGGAACTTGGCTAATGTTAATGACTGGTGAGCTAGGAAGTGCCACAAGCATCAAGATGTGAGAGAAGGATGCCTGCGACAGGATTTGCACGGACGGGACGGCTTGGATCATGGGAACTGGGCCACGCGGCTTTAAGCTGAACCTGGCTCGTGGGGCGGCAGGCTTTCGGTGGCATGTATTGCTTCGATGTTGCTCTATGGCCTTCCCGCACCAGGAACGCGCTAATGCATCATGAGATATCATGAGCCAAAGGCGAAAGAATCAGAAGCTCTTGCCTAGGAGTGTACGAAGTGTCGAAGATGAGAGTATCCCTGTTCTGGCAGATATCTTAACGGCCCTCAGCAAACGTCGCCCAAAGGTAAAGATTCTTCTCGAGCCGAGAAGCTTCCTCCTGTTGCAAGGTCGCAGAGTCTCGCCTCTGGGATGTTCGAAGCTTGTGTAGTGGGACAACATGGAGGGCCAAATTCAGGGTGTTCCTTCTCGTGACTGAGTTCAGCAAAGGTTTCCGTTGTCTGGCTACGCGGCTACGCCGTACCAATCCAGGGAGTGTGAAGGTGTAAGTGACATGTAAGTGTAAAAGTGTGTGTGTGTGTGTTGATCCACTGGCAGAGCCACGGAAGAAATCGTGCGGTTGAGACTGCCAGTTTGGGCCGTGAGCGCTGCTTGGCAGGTGAAAGCCGTTACGAATATCGTCATGGAATTCGCCGCTCAAAGCTGGCACGAGCCCTTGGCATTGGGGGGCTTGCAGTGGTCTGCGGGCGAAAGCTCAACCAACAATTGGACATACTCGACATCTTCTCTTGCGACTCTTGATGGGAAAACTGTTGGGGGCCGGCCAGTCCGTCTAGTCGGAAGACATCAAGGGGTTGAGGGGTTACAACCATCTGAGTGACAGACTCCTGCATGACATGGAGCCTCGCCCAAGTGGATAGTTTGCGCCTCTGCAAGGTTCAGCTAGGCGATGGCCAAATCCTGCGAAGGGAAGCAGGCGGGTGTTGCAGTGTTTCCAAGCGTTGAACATCCAGGATTCTGTTGTTAAGTGTTCAGCTTGTCCCGAAGCTAGGTCTTCTAATTCCCCAACTTTTGCCTTCTGGTGATTTCCAGTGGCCGTTCTTCGGATGCATCTTGCCAGATGCCAGGGAGAGGCAGACAGAGAGGAACCGCAGAAGCGGCAACGCTCACGCCATGTCTGCCTTTTCGGGTGCAGGTTATCGTCGCGTGTCCCTCACCTTCCGAGAACTACTCCAGAGCCGCAGACTCTTGGTCGCCAGCTGATAAACGAATCTAGAATCTAGAAATCTTCAGGACAGGTCACCTCCCCCCCAAAGGAGGAAACGAAACTTCACACAGGCGAACCTGGTGCAAGAACATGTTAGTTGCCCGGGTTGCCAGAGGGCGCACGTACGTCCATGCTGAAACTGCAGGACAGCTGAGCGACACTGCTACTGACGGCAAGGAGATCCGGTGGATTTCCCGCGAGGAAGAAAACTGAAAGCACTTAGAGCACACTGCCTCGACAACTTTGCAAGAGTTTCATACCTGAGTCGAGGTGCAATGAAAAGCAAACACACACGAATCTCAATCTGATTCGTACTTGCAGATAAGCGGTCGGTAAGACTTAAGCACTGTTCGGAAAATCTATTTCAGCATTTGACATGCATCTTGAGCCGGAGGGGTGCCTGGCAGCACCGAGCTCCAAACCAAGCCTTCAGTTTTCTCCTGGAATCGTTGCATCAAAAGCAGGAAATTGGCGTAGACATGGCTCAAGGCTCAAGGTCTTACATCGGCCCTAGGCCCAGGGCTTTCCTGTCCAGACCCAGCGAAATGCCCTCATGATCCCTCATGCCGGAGACACAAAGCCTGGACCTGTTCGAGGCCTCGCAAATTGTGCACTTTCGAACTCTGCTCATGTTTCCTTCCATAGCGGTGAAGCCATGAAGCCAGATGCTGCCCGAAAAAGTTGCGAGCAGCAGAGGCCTGTTGTCGAGGGGTTTAGAGGAGCTCCGTGCAAGGGTTCCAGCTTGCAGGACAGACTCGTGCCGCATTTTGCACTTCTCATGAACATGTGTCCATGCGAGGAATGCGAGGCCTCAATGGCGGAGGTAACGTTAAAGTTTACGTCTGTCACTTAGACTTCTTGGTGCTGGCCAGTCTGGAGGCAGTCGTCCTACGGGCCGCAATCTGCGCAACAGGCGACAGTTGATCCATGTCGAACTGATGTCGGATGCAGCAAACTCGGATCATGTCTTGGGGTATCGATCGTGCCAGGGGCTGTTTGTGTTGCCTGGCCTGCTCGATGATTGGGAGAATTGTGTTGCCTGAAGTCGAAGTAAATCCATTCTGCAGCATACACCTTCTCTCCGTCTTGCGAAAGCTGTCACAAATGCCACTGCCAATATGCTTCTGGTCTTGCATAGTTGTGTCCGAACTTATTACCCGGATGTTATCTGAGCATCAACACCATTCACGTTCCCAGCTACCAGTAGAGGAGCTCAAATTCTCTACTACATTCTGCATCCCGAGCACATCAGAAACCCCCGGCACGAGCAGGCCATTGACGTCGGCCGCCAGGGTACCTTGATGGGTCCTGGTGCTCTCCTGGCGCTGAGGCCTCCGAGGACGCAATGAGCTCGCATGCTTTCCATTCGGTAAAAAATCCTTCATCAACCATCGCAGACGGCAAAGCAGACCCGCCGCCCGGATGCTCAGCCTGAGCCGCGACCGAGCAACCGCCAGGACGCTGGCGGATAACAAGAAGCCAGGCACGGCAGACTACGCCGGATGAGTTGTCTTGTCTTCATTCCTTACGTAAGATATAGTGGGTTTTGAAAGTGCGCAGAAAGGGATTATTTGTGTTCCGCGTTGCGCTTTGCTCCAACTGCGGCAATGCGGAACCGGGCAGAGGCTTTGGAAATGGAAAGCTGCAGGTTGGGATGGAAGTCAGCTGGGAAGCCAATCCAAGAAGACACGACTTGGCCTGGCATGGCACCAGGTGCGTGGTCAGCCAAAGCAGGCACAAAGTTGCCGCGACCGGAAGAGGCCGGATGGTTGGAAATAAGATTGTTGCCTGACAGTTTTTCGGTACGACTCGGAGCATGAGTTCTCATCTTGCGATGACAGCAGCTTGTGGCTACTCAGCAGATACTCCACAAGATGTGGCCGGAAGTGTGCGCCAAGGTGCCGGCCTTCGCGATCCCCCGGACTGCGGAGGCAGACGGAGCACAGATCAAACGCCCTCGTGACTGTTACAGTATCGCATGCAGCAGGTACGCCGGTGAGTATACGTATGTAGGAGCGGCTGCATAAGCATGCAACTCTCTCTCTCTCTCTCTCTCTCTCTCTCTCTCTAGTTGTATGAAGTATTTGTTTATATATGCCACACACACACACACTTGCATAACCCGCAAAAGGTAGCATCTGTCGCAGCGTCCGTGCTGAGGACAAGCTACAGGTGCAGGCTGAGGCAGCGGCGCTCGCTTTGCTTCGCGGCACTGTGGGCGAGGCTCAGGCTCCTTAGCCCAAGCTCCAGGGCTGTGGTTTCGGAGAGAGCGAAGGAGCTTGGCCTACTACCTGTGCATTTGGACGGAAGAGAGAACGACGGCGGGGGAACCCTGCGGGTCGAAGGGTGGGCCAACTTTATGCGCAGACCTCGAACATGATGGAAGTCAAACTAGGGGGAAGAGGCCCGCTTGTCGACAGACTTGGAAAGAGTTCGCTTTCCACCCATCTTTTCGGGCACTCAACATTTTGAGGAATAGCTAGCTCCGTGTGTACGAGGGAGTAAGCTGGCAACGATGCATGCATGTGGGGATATCGAGGAATCAGAGGGGGCGGGGAGCTTCTAATGTATTCTAATGTTTTGAGGCCAAGCTTGCAGCTTTTCAACCTGGCCCGAAAGCTGCTTCAATTTCGCTACTTCCGCCGCGACGCAGAAAAAGCCTTCACCATTCTTCACCTCAATGTAATGCACGGCAAGGAACCGAAACGTTTCACTGTATCTGTGTTGCTTCTTCCTAAGCGCCGCAGAACCCCACCCCAAAAGGGCTTTGGTTGCCAAACTTTTCCACCTTGTGCAGCCATTTTCGTCAAAGCACTGCCCCGGGAGGCTGCAAGCGCGCCTGTGCCGGGCGTCGGGCAACCGCTTCGTCAGGACTCCAGGCCTTGATGGGGTGTAGGGTTCCAGCGAAAGAAAGCCTGCAGCGTGACTGCAGAAGTCTGAGGCTTGCGGTGTAGACATCGAAGCCTGAAGCCTTCATATGCTCTTCCAAACTCGAACTTCCTGAAGCTGCGCGAAGTAAAACCCTAAACTGCGAAGATGCTCTCCCTGTTCCTGTTCAGCTGCGGCGCCGGAATGTCGACTTTGAAGCGACTTGCGAAAGCCACGGCCGAAGGTGCCCTTGTTTTCTCTTCCCTGTTCCAATCTAGCGAGCTTCTCAGGGGGTGGAGCTGCAATTATTTTTGCTATTTACCGAGGGTCCAGCTTTGGCTGGCAGTTCGCCGTTCTGCTTTGAGTTGGAAGGAGTGGATTCCGCCACGTGTCGCCGCTCTTCTACTTGCAATGCCAAGCGAAACGAGCCAGCGAGCAAGCAAGCAAGAAGGCTAGCAGCACAACCATGACTGCGGCACTAAAGAAGCCCCTTGCTGGTGTACATGACGCTCCCAAGATTCCTCGTGGTGATCTGACTGTTCTGAAAGCCTAACGTGTTTGGGGCCGGCTTCGAGGAACGATGTCCTGAGCAATGGCTGCGCAGCGCAAGTCCGGCAAAGAGTCCGACAAGTTCGCGCGGTGGTTCAAAGCCAAACGGTCTGGAGGCGGCAGCAGAGGACGCGGCAAAGCAAAGGGCAACTCGTCGAGGTGCATTTTCGCCATAACTTTCTTATGCCCGGATGCCCTTTGATCAAAAACCGATAGCAAAATACGGCGTCCGTCCTCCAATCTGGCCGAGGCAAGGGCAAAGCCAAGAATGCCTCAGCCGGCCGCTTGCCACACGAGGGAGACAAAGTATCTCCGAGCAGAAGCGAGCTCTTTCCAAAGGCGAAGGGCAACAAGCGAAAAGCTGCGAACCTTCTGGAATCGGCGGAGGGTGTCAGTGATGGTCTGCAACTTGTCTCACGACGCATGACTCTGAAGAAAAGTTCTCGTACATCACAGCATGAAAAATACTCGTACCAGTGTGCACAGCTGTAAGACTACTCATTCATCCTAGAGGAGATGCTTTTCATCGGAGCAAAATCCAAGGCGACAGAAGCTGTTGGCAACCAAGCAGCGGCTCCTGGCCGGCAATGCAGAAGCGGCTCGCGCAGGGGTCGTGCAGGCAGAGACCGCACAGAGAACACAGGGAGGTTGCGGGGGCACGGAGGGACTGCCTCGAAGTTCGGCGCGCAGGCGGAGCCTGGAGCTTGGGCCGCCATGCAGGCGGAGAAGGAGAAAGCCAACGACGGGAAGAACGAGCAAAAAGGGAGGCTCGGCTTCGCCGCAAGTGCGGACACCACAGGCTCTGTGCGCTTGCGCTCTCAAGTCGCGTTGAGCTTTGCCTGAGCACTATAAGGAAAGCAAAAAGCAAGGGAAAGGGAAAGGAGCCGGGCAAGGGCAAGGGCTCCAAGAAAGGGAAGGGCCAGGGCCAGGCCAGCAAGAAGGTGCCCGTCGTCCGCGAGGAGCGCCGTTCACCCAACATCTTTCGAAAGCACTCGGCAAACCTCGCGAAGGAGCTGGTGAGACTGAATCGCGAGATTGCGTCCCGCGCGCAGCTGCGAGACCTCCCAGCTGTCCACGCAACGCTGAGGAATCTTGAGGACCCGGGCTTGGGCTTTTGGGACTTTCGTACGCTGTTTGAGGCTGGAGACAGCCCCAGAGTAGCCCCCGTTGTCACCATTGCCTTCCAGCGAAGACCTTGAGTGTTTCTGTGACTGAGAGCGGAGAGTAGGAAAAGGGCTGGGCCAATGGCCATACCTATGCCGCTGCTGTGCATGCGCTGCTGCTCGGCCTTTCAGCTTGCGACACTGCCTGCGGGTGTATGTCTGCATGTATGTATGTATGTATGTATGTATGTATGTATATATATATATACATATATATATATATATATATGTAAATATCCGCCGACCCCTGCTGGGGCGGCGCCAGTGAAATCCCGAAGGGTTGGTTGTTTGTTTGTTTGTTTGTCTGAGGCATTGCTCTTGCCTTTTTCCCGTGAAGAAGCATTATAGCAGGCTTCAAAGTTGGCTACACCGCC